AGGGAGTAGGCGTTAAGTGGAAAAAATAAGCAATGGGGAGTGGGAGGGGAAGTTCAAGTGCCCCACCCCCTACCCCCCACCCCACCTCTGCACCAGCCCTCAACCAGTCAAGCATACAATTACAATCCAAGATGGCACCATTGAAAACCCGACTTATTTAGCATTCGTTCCAAAATAATGCCTGCAGAGCTAGCTAACCCCACACAGGCATACAATGCCATGATTGAGATGATGCAACGTGCTTTTCCCATGTTTGACATACATGTAAGAGTATCAGTGGACCTGTCCAAATGCGATGTCTTTACTGATAATGGAAATTGCAATAAAGATACAAGTCAAATTGAAAAAACCTTTGAAAATGAGTTGCCAATATGACAGGGATTAAAAGATAATGAACTTGGTCTGCAAACAGAGCAAATGAGAGGGTTTGAAGAAATTAAAGTTGCATATTCATGCTTGACCTCAGGGGGGGGGGGTATTGGAACTTAGTGTTGCTGCCATTTAACACTCTTGAAACAAAAAAATAAATTTGATTACGACTGAGAAAAAATCATGACATGTCCAAATTACTGAATTGCCACTAAAACTATCCTCTTGCTTTTTTTTAAGGGGTTCACGTCCCGCCTGTAATGAAGTGTTTATCAATTAAGGGATTGCTTGGGGAAAACATATCTTGTTTAAGGTTCTTACCAATCGTAACATATTTTATGGCATCAGTTTGAGTCCTAAGCAAAAACATGAATTTGCGTCAGTGTCAATCAGCAAGAAAGTTCCGCAAAGCGCGTTATGTGTATGGGTCTATTCTTGAAGTGATACGATCTACAGCTCTCAAGTACTCTCAAGTGCTTGGCAATGGTAAATTTGATAAATGCGCTTCTGTTAATTAGATTCCCTCACGTCTAGAAAACTTTCATTGCATTTTTCTCTTAGTGTAATGCCTACCTAAGAGAATAGGATATTTGAATTGAGTGCAACTTACCTAGAATTCATTATTTCCACTCAAACGATGACTCCTGTGGAATTCAGCGACGAAGAAATGACGACATTTCGTGAAAACACGCCATCAAAACAGCATATTTCTGAAGAAAAAATTGCCCTGTTTTTCAAACAAACTGATATGATGAGGAAGAAGACAAAATTTTGTTTATCGTGGCCAAATAAGGCATTAAAAATATCCAGCTGATTGCAAAATATTGCCATTTTACTTACTGAGAGAACGATTATGCCTTATTCAAATTTGATTTTGCTGCTCAGACCACTTTTTTACCAGATGTGACGTCATTTTTGGTTGGATGATCTAGATACACAAAAAGTGACAGGTGTCGCAGAGTGCTCTCCCCCGCCCCTGTGTAGGACAAAAATTCAAAAAAGTCTGTATTTCTTTTTTGTATTCTTGGTGTTGTGACCTTTTCCAAAATTGATTTGTTTTAGGAATTATCTCCAAAGAATGCATAAAATGGCATTTCAGAGCTTCTCATTTTCAAAATTTTCTGGGAGAGCATGTCCCCAGACCTTGCCAGAGGTTTCTCCCTTTGGCACTCAAGTCAGTGTCAGTTGTCTGCTTCATGAAACAAGCCCTCTACTCCCTAAATTAATGGGAACCCTGATTCATTATGATCGTTTTGAAATAATAATTGGCAAATTATGTGACCAGGCAGCTCATTGATAGCTCTCAGTAATATTCAAGCTGTAAGATGTAAGTTCTAAAATGTTTAAGTGTAAAATTAATAATTTGTTCATTTGTCAAAAGATAAGTTAGCAAACAACAGAAAGACAATCTTTTTGTGCCCACTCAGTTAGTATTTACATTTCAAATTAAACAAAATATGGCAAAAATAATGATAATTAATAGGTAAATCTGAGGCAAAAAAGCAAAGAAGACGTTTCCCTTCATCTGAGGTTAAACCAATGGAGTGAGGAAAGGGCACCATTTTTGAAGCTCTGCATTTTCTTGAGTTATTGATCAGAAGCAGCAGGTGATTGATGTAAGCTTTCCATGTTATAGAGCCTCACAAAAAATCCCTCAAGGCCAACTGGCTATTCTTAGTGGCAATTGGCCCGCATAGTTGGCGGTTTTGATGGGTTTTGCTGGTGGGCTTTAGTAGCGTGGTATGAGTGGTAAGAATTGTGTCAGGTATGCCATGAAACCTCACTGAAAAACCCTAGGGATGCATAGATCAGATCTTCGCTCTGAGGAACATCATTAAGCAGTACATCGTGTATAACATCTCTTTGTACATCAATTCCATCAACTTCCTGGAAGCCTTTGACAGTGTGTACCACAACAGCCTGTCGAAGGTCTGCAATCATATGGAGTCCCTCTAAACATGGTCACACATATGGGGTTCTACCAGCAGTTCGAGTGCAGTGTCATTGTGGATGGAAATTTGTCAGATTGGTTCTCTGTGGATTCTCATGTGACAGGGATTAGTCATCTCTCCTATCCTCTTTCTGGCTGCCATTGATTGGATCATGCATAGGACAATGGCTGACAGACCCAGAGGCGTACAGTGGACATTATTTCCCCAACTTGAAGACCTTGACTTTGCCGATGACCTTGCTGCTCTCTCCACAACACATTGCCTCTTACAGGAAAAGACCAACAAATTCAGCAGGTTTGCCAGGCAGGCAGGCTTGACCATCAACATCTACAAGACCCAGGTTGTGTGCATCAATGCCATTCCAGATGTACCAATTACAGCAGGTGGTAAACCACTTCACTTGGTGAAGGAATTCACCTACACGGGAAGTCTTGTCGCAAAGGACAATGCAGCACAGAAGGACATCAAGGCAAGGCTTGGGAAAACTTGAAGTGCATTTTGCAGCATTCCAGCCTGCGTGGAAGTCAAGGCAGTGCAGCCTTAGGATGAAGCTTAGACTATACAACAGTATGGTCAAGCCAGTTGGGCTGTATGGCTCCGAGTGCTGGCGAGTGGTAAAAGGCAATATGGACAAGATAAGTGCCTTTCACAACGGATGTCTCAGGAGAATATGTCGCATCTTCTGGCCTAACAAGTTCACAAATGACGATTCAATGCTACCAGATGGCTTGGGCATGTCCTTAGTATGGACCAGGACTGCATCCCCAAGACTGCCCTCAGATGGACACCACCTGGAAGAAGGAAGCAAGAGCAGCCCATGACAACTTGGAGACATAGTGTGATGGCCAAGCTAAAAGAGATGGGCTTGACATGGGGTGCAACACAACATTCTGCAAAGGACCTGTGTCTTTGGAGGCAGACCGTTGATGCTTTATGTCCCACCCAGGATGAAGAGGACTAAGCAAGAGACCCCTGGTAAAAATCTTTCGATGATCTTGAAGGATCTCTTAATTTCATGAATAAGCAAATAGATAAATAAATAAATAAATAAGTAAATAAATAAATAAATAAATAAATGCAAATAAATAAATGTTCATCGGTATCATTGAGGATCCTGTTGAGGATCTTCACAAGATCTTTAAAAATCCTTTTCAAGGTCCTCAATATTCTTGTCAGGGTCTGTAAGGGTTGTCAAATGTATTGTCAGGGTCTTTGAGGATCGTAATCTTTCTTGCCAGTAACTTCAATGATCTTCAGGAATTTTCGAATCATTGAACATTTGGGAGGATCGTTGCAAATGTCTTTAAAGCATCGTTTATTTAAGGCTCTTTGCAAGATCTTTTGACCAAGGGTCTGGAATTGTTCGACAACTAATACAGTGTTAACTGTAGGTGAAAATGTTAATGCCTTTGTATCTTACTATTTGTAGTATTGAGGTCTCAATTTTGTATGAAGTTACGCTTATGAACTTTTTTTTCATACCCAGCCACCTGCCTGAGCTATCTTTGAGAATGGTCTTACATTTTTAGTGTTCCCAAATTCGCAACTAGTCGATCAGAAGCCATGGCTACTGTTCTCATATCTGTGATATCAAATCACTGACCAATATGGCCGGAATTTTAGTGGAATCTGGGCATGTTAACTTTTTTTTTTGTTAACTTCCTAATCGTACCTTCTTACGTCTTGCCATCAAAGACAAACCATGGCTCGACCAATCTCAGCTGATATACCACCAGTTCCCCAAAAAGGTACAGTTAGGTATGAATATCGATTAATTTTACAGATGTCATTACATTGCATTGATCTTTGACATTAATGTTACAGGTTTATAACCACAGAAGGTCCTGTTATGAACGCTATAATCGGGAATGGTGTTTAAAGTTGGCAACACTAGAGGACGCTGAAAAAGGTAAGGTGCAAATGATTTTAAAAAATTAGTTTTACTAAGCATAAAACGGAGGTAGAGATTCTGTCCTCTGAGTTCCATCCTTAGAGCATTTCACAACTATTGACAAGTTAACTTTTTGGTAGCCTGAAGTCCCGTTCCCCACCAAACAAATTACCATGTTTACAGTTATACTTCTGCACCCGCCATGATCTGGCAGAAAGTGTGCAGCATTTTCAGATACTTGTGTGGAGGTGAAATCCTCTCATTATTATGTCAAGTTCTTTGAGTGTTCTTTTTACCCCTCAATCAATGTTTTCATGACAAATGTTTTCGAAGTTTAAGTCCTTTTTCACTAAGTTTAATACCGTACATAGTTATAATACTAAGCATGCGGCTAAATAGTC